CCTACCATTTTTAGTTCAATTCGTTCAAGGCCTACTAGTAGTTAAAGCAAAACATAAATACAGTAAATATCAGAACTCCAAAAGGAGAAATACTACATGTATTTTAGTATTTGGCCAAGCCAATGAACAACGTTAAAAGAGGCTGTAATTTGAACAGATAAGCATCTCTAGTTCTGCACTGTTTAGTTTAGTTCTGCACCTCTTAGCTCTGTTTTTTTCTATATATATGCATATATACACACATTATATATATGTGTCATCATGAGCCTAAAAGACAAAATATACCCTTATTCTTCCTGTATGATTTTGAAGGGTGATTTTTACCCTTTTATCCACCCTGATAGATATAAAGCACTGGCTAAACACAACAAATATGTTCTGAAGCCTTTTCCAAATTCCTGTTTATGGTTGGAAAATAAATGATTGCTGCAGTTTACTGTGAGTTTGCCATGAAAAATTTCTGAAGCTACAGGGATGAATTTTACATAACTCTTCACTTTATTGTGGTGTAAGCAGGTATTTTGTCACTATTATTCCAGATTTGTCCTGAGTGTTACACTGCATATTCCCAGGAGGTATCCTGGGGCAGATTGTGCTACAGAAGTAGTAAATATGTACAAACAATAGTAATTTTTTTAAAATGTAAATGTAGTGAGCCAGTCCATTTGTAGCATGGGGTATGTTCGTCTGCAAGTGTACACACAACTCCTGTCTACTCCAGCTTAGCACAAAAAGCTGGGTAAAGCTCATAAGATTTTGTTCGAGGCTTTGGGGAGAAGGAAGGGGTTTTGTATCAGCCTCCGTCTATTCTGCAGTCCCACAGTTTCTTTTCAGCTGCGGGTTCTAACACTTTTTTTTTTTCAGTTCAGCCATTCTCCTACAATCTGGAGGAATTCTGTTTTACCATTTGACAAAATTAATTTTTCTTCCATTTGCTGTGTTTCGGATTATTCAGTCACCTCCTGCTCCAGTGGCTGGTAATTTTGACTCTCATGCAGTGAACAGCACAATGACCATAACAACAGCGTTACACAACACTTTTTACCCATATGCATAAAACCTCTGACAGAAGTGATTAAATTTCATTGTTGCCATCTTTCTTGATGGCAAGCACAAAAAATTTAAGGCAACTCCCATCCGGCAGCAAATTAGCTACACACAGAGATGGTCTGTGACTTTGCCAAAATGCTTTTGAGTTTCTGTATTTTGCTGCCAACAGTTGGTGCTCATCTCAGCTGTTCAGTGACATGCAGGAACTGTGGTCTGCTTTTTCATCCCAGCGTGGGAGATGAAATCCCACCTATGGACCATGACTACTGGTTAAATATGAGTATTTGACCCATGTTTCCCGTGAAGAATGACAGCATCTCAGGTTCCATGAGATGCTATTCAGCATTGGAGGCTGAAGCGATATACACAGGCATTCTGCAGAAGTTTCCTTCCAGGATTTCATGCACGGTGTTTTTATCCTGATCAGAGCCAGAAGCTAACGCTGATCTAAATGTAATATCATTGCAATAGTCTTCTATACGCTTTTCTTTATGAATTTGTCCAGTGTAAACTTCTAGCATCCACAAAATGTCTGGAGGCAAAAAAATCTGCAGCTTGATTACACGCTGGGTAAAGAAATATCGCCTTTTGTTCTTACCTGCTGGGTTCATCTAATTCCCTTCAGCACTCTCCTATCTGGTATATCAGCCAATGCATTAAATATATGACTGATTTTAAGGGCACAGATTAATTCAAGGTACAAAAATCAGAGTTTCTTACAAAGAATTTGGTTTTTGCTTACCCAGGTGTTTAGTACTGTTTCATTCTTTCTGGAGCCAAATTTGGACTGAGTTGCATGCTTTCCATTGGAAATGCAATTACTAAAGCTTAGAAGTGCTGGGGTCCAAGAATTCATTTCACTCAGTCATCTGCACTTCTAAATATATGGTAATTGCTATTCTTTGTGTATGAAATGAGAGAAAATAGAACAAATCAGAGAACTGTTACCTTCTGCAGCTAGAATATTTCTGAGGATAAGACTGTTTTAAAGGTATAACACCGTTAACAGAATCGGGTTTTTTAATCCTTGTTTGTATCTTGGCACAGTCACAGGGGCACATAGGGCACATTTCCTATGTTTTGTACACTTACTCAAAACAGAATTAGAATAAACTTTTTTTCTTTTTGTACAAATTACTGGCTTTGCAGGCTGTGTAGGTGTTTTTCAAATGCACACACCATGCTTACTTAAAAGTAATTGCATTTTGAGATAGGATATATATTATGCCCTTCCTATCAAGGTATGGTCATGCGTTACAGGCTGCCATTCTACAAATCTCCAGAGTGACATTTTATTATTGCAGATCATTTTAGGAAACTTCCTGAGAAAGTAAAATGTCTTCTCCTATAACTGCCTCTTCAGGCAGAAGCATAATGGAGTGCCTTGGGACAGTAAAGACTAAAAGGATTAGCCATTAGGAGGGCTCTCATATCACCTTTATCTTTAAAGACATCCCGACAGTTTGTCTGGGCAGTAATTCTGGGCAGCATTACTTTGATCTGTTGGTGGCTGTGGTTCCTGCAGTGCCAGGGCTGACAGCAGGTGACACCTACTAACCTCACACCACGGGTATGAGTGTTTACTGTTGCTTTTGCTTCTGCTAATTTTTTTGTTGTAATGCTGTTGCCTAGTTCACATCAATAGCAGAAGTTGTTCCAGGGGGAATTAGTCATGGGAAGTGTTCAGGTAGCTCGAAGGAAGAAGTAAGAGAGGCTATTCATCGTTCAATAATGCTGAAAAGGTGGTTGCTGTAGAAACCTCTTCCAGGTCTAGCAAATGTCAAGAATCAGATTGTATGCACGGCAGCGCCATAGATCAGATTGGAGTTGCTCGCATGCACAGGGAGCCTGGAGGCCTGGCGACCCTTTCTGGAGACACCGGAGATTTCCTGGCCATCTACCTGATGGGGGGAGCAGCCACCACCATCACCATCCCTCTGTGCAGAGGCTGCTGCACAGTCACGATCGCCCCACGTATATTCACAGGGACCGCTTCATCCATCAGGGCACACTCCCCGGTGCTTTTCTCCAGGTCTTGTGCTCATAGCTCGTTTCAGCCTGTATCAGAAAGCTGGCTCTAGCAACTCAGAGGGAGAAGTAGTGAGGGATAAAGCGTGACTGGATGTGTTTTAGCTTGGGCTGGCAGCAAAAGCCTGGGGCTGTACGGGGAGCACAGGTACCACTTGAAGGAGATCAGACTTCTTCCCTGGGGCATTCACTGAGGCATCACTAAAGACCCAGCAAATCAGAGGTGTGCTTAGCTGGAGCTCTGAGCTCAATTGTGGGTTGATGGCAATGATGTCCTAAGCTATTGCAAAGTGTGAATGAGAGCAGGAGGCACAGAATTTGATCGTAGCTTCATAAAGGGGCTGAGTCATCATTTAACCAAGTTCAATTAATCTGTACAGCAGAGGGTTTTGTTTTTTTTTTTAAAAGCACCTTTTAAAGTAAAGATGCTCCAGCCACAAAGTGCTTTACTTACTGCTTTACTTTGATAAGGACCTATTAAATGCCTGCTGCTTTGGATTTCAGTCCACTTACAGTCCATCTAGTAGGGGTGGTCCAAACTTGCTGAAATAAAAGGTTTACTTCCCCAGAGCTGAGGTCTTGTGTGGGTTTCATGAGTTACTTAGCACTTCTTCTGTGGGTTTCCCAGTGGTATGAAGGGTTCCTGGGCTTTGCTGGGACAATTCATAATAATTTGCTCTGATTCAGTTCATCTCAGGTTTCTGCATGTAAGGTATCCTGTGTCTCTCCTGGCTGGGCAATTTGTTTCAAAATATGCTTTCTGAGGCTAACATTTCTCCCTTTCCATTTGAGATCAGTAGGATGGAGCTGCATCGTTCTTAACATAACATTGATTCTGCAGAGTGATGTGTCTGGTCCTTGGGGTAAACTTCAAGATTGCTTTAGATATCCATGTTCTGAATGAAGACACAAGAATATCTCCTTATTCAACTTTTATGAAGTCTCTCATGTTTTCAGCTGCTATAGATACCGTTGACTTGTTTTGATAAGCGTGTTAGAAGCCCAGAGCTTGGCAGGACATGTTATTGATCTCACGCAATCCATTCTGGGCATTAACATGGGAGTATCATTCACAAATCAATTTTCTCTGAGCTTTAATTTAAATACCAGTGCCCCTTGAGGATCTTTCTGGGTCACTTTTACTCTCAAGCTTCAGCACTGAGTAAACTGATTAATAAATGCAGGCACCCAAATTAGCTGCATGCCAGCTGCTGTCAGATGTAGCTATCTAGCCTGTTTAGTTTCCTGGCATACTTGTTTCTGTAAAGAATAATACTCAGCTCTGTCTACCCTGAAAACAGTTTTCAAATTTCAGCCATTCAAGCCCAGCTGCTCTGTAAGGGGGCAAGTATTCCTCTGTTATTAAGACACACTGCCTGGGGAGAATATTTAAGGTGAAGTCCTGTCATTTAGCTAGTTGTTAGACTGTGTAGAAAAACTGTCTGCTACCTTTCTCCTCAGCAGACAGAAACTGAGAAGTACATATCAAGAGAGCTTTAGAAAGGATTTGAGTGAAGTTAATGCCATATAGCGCTATGCAATCCATAAAAGAATGTGATGAGGCAATTATAAATTAATGTAATATCTGATTTTGTAAAGATATGGGAGAAAGGTTAAGAGAGAGGAACAGAGCAAGAATGGTCACTTGGAAGCACTGCCAAATTAATGTTCCTTTGCCTTTAGCTACTGGTCATGGAAAACAAATGTGTGGGAACTGGCTACGGGTTTATGGAGTGTCTGGAGCCAGGGACTGCCCGGAGAGAGGCCCTGCAAGAGGTTTCTTTGTCCACTCCTCATGTATGTGTCCTGTACTGGTATCGTAGAGTTAAAATATCCCAACGGTTTCTCAGAAATGATGGCCTAGCTTCCCAAATTATTTCCTTTTCTTTTTTCCTTTCATTTCTTTTCTCTCTATGTTTCAGATTATGCTTGGCCTTTGCCTAAACAGTTGTGCCCTATATGGATTTCCCTAGATGTGCTCTTTTCAACTGCATCTATTATGCATCTCTGTGCCATCTCTCTTGATCGGTATGTAGCAATACGCAATCCCATTGAGCACAGCCGCTTCAATTCCCGCACCAAGGCTATTATGAAAATTGCTGCAGTTTGGACCATATCCATAGGTAAGCAATGCGGCTCATGATCTTAACTGTGTCTTAATGAATGATAGTGTTACTCCAATTTTCATTTAGGATTTTTAAGAGGATACTCAAATTAATTTACCTGGCCTGCATGCCTGAATATAATAAATGATTACTGGGAAATAGAAGTCTTTCATTGCGGTTGGTCAGTGACCAAAATAAGTAGTCGTTTTTCAGAATACCACCATTTCCAATGCTGAAGCATTGCGGCTGTGTACATATCAATATGCCGATAATGATGGTAACACAGACAAATGGTACTATAAAAGTGCTGTGTAAACAAAGCAGAAAATAGCATTAGCAAAGACTCTGGAAGGAAAACCTAGCCAGTACAAATGACATGTCTACACTGCAGTTGCTGCAGTTAAACTCGCTCAAATTGTGGTAGTGGTTTAAGTGAAGTAGTGCAGAATTGAAGGCAGGCTAACAGCAAGATATTTACTGCTCTTGCACAGGCTTTATAGCCTATATTATATTCTGCCACAGTTGGATTGCTGCTAGTACTAAGCTAGCAAGTTTGAAGTCATAGTAAATGAGGAGTAGACATAAAATATGACACTTTTGTATCACTTTGATAAAAAGTGATAAATAAAGCAGCAGTAAAATACGGAAGAAAAGGAAAAGTGGTAGCAAGATGACTGTAGTCAGGAATTATGTGAAGAAAAACATTTTTGAGGGAATTCTTTCAATGTGCTTTATAAAAGAGACATTTGGGGCAGGGTCAGAAGAATTGTATGACCCCTTCCCTCTGCTGTATTGGCTTTTTTACTTGAATAAAATTCAGTCTTACAAAGATTTAACATTTAGCTTTTCTTTCATAAAGCGGTTGTCGCTTTCAGTGCTGTACTGCAAGGAAAAGCGTGTTACAGGTACTTTAACTTCTCTTGGGCTTTGCCTGCTTTAGAAGTGGAATGTGATACTGGATGTCTGGGTGCTGCACTTTTGAAGAAGCTTGCCATGGAAAAAGGCTATGGAAAAAAGCAAAAAAATAGGGGAAATATACCTTCTCTCCTCATGAATATGACAAGAATATCTGTTAGAAACAAATTTTCATGTGTCACAAGCCTGCCACAGTTCGTCTAGGTAATACAATCCACAGTGAAATTGGATTGGGTTTAATCAATTAATTTAAGATATTTTTTAATTATTATTTTAAACTCTCTGTGCTGCCTGTTTGGCATAGGAAAGAAAGCTGCTGAATTCAGTATATAAGCAGTCACGTGTGAACAACTTGACGTGCAGGATGCTTGGGCTTGATTTGCATGGGCAGTTCAGAGTCAGCGCAGAGTCTGTGCCCTGTATTGCACTATAACGCGGAGGGAGCACCCGGTATCCCCTTGTAGCAGAGCCACACAAATCTGTCAGCAGCATTAAGTAGCACATTGCAAAACCTGGGCAATAAGACTGTTCTCCTTCCATTTCTGGAGCTAAATTGCAGATTTTTGCCTGTGTTGCCTTACATGTTGCAGACATACCCTTAGAAATTTTGGCTAGTGCTGAATGTGGCTGCCTGCACAAGTGCCTTGAGGGCTAAGTTTTGGTTTGGACTATGGGTCCAAGGAATAAAGTAAGGCAACAAGTACTTCATGCATGGTTCACTGAGTAAGCAGAATAGTAAGCAAATCTGGAGCATGACCAAATAGATGTAAAGACAGCCATAGACCTACCTCTTCCTGGAGTTACTGGGTGGGGAATGGGCTCGGGATGATGGAAAATAGGAACATTATGGGCTCTACTGTCCCTCAAGGACAAAAGTAACTGAGCCAGGATAGGCAAGGTGACTTTGTGCTGCTGTAGAGTGCAAATTCCTCACCCCTGCCCAGCTTTCTCAGGTGACATTTAACAAGTCTGCATTTATAATAGGATGTGAAACAGATGAAATAATGAACACTAAAAGAAATAGCTTGAAAAGGAGATGGAATGGCACTTTCCTTTTGCAGGCACGTGGCTCATCAGCCCTCAATAAGGCAATGGGTGCTGCATTTATTCCCCAGCATCCAAAAGTCTTTAGGAAGAAGCTGTGAGCAGTTGCTCAGCAGGATGTCTGCTGTGCACAATGCTTTGGTGGACTTCCCTAGGCAGCGCTCCCCTCCCGAGGCTGGGAAGGGAGATGTGTTACAGTTGTACCTGCGTGCCCTCCTTTGCTGGGATTATAGCTGAGAGGGTGTACAGCATGTCTGGGCTTTGTTCATGTTTTGTTCGTTCTCTTTGATGCAGATACAGCTGGCCCAGGGAGTCTTTGCTTGCATTCCTTTTTCTGAAGATACAGGCAGAATTGATACTCCCCAGAGAGTCTGTTCAGGGCACTGAAATGTTGGATTTCCACCCTCCCCAGTGCATGCAATAGGGCTTACCCATTTACTTGGTCTTTCTCCAGAAGGTTGCATTAAATGGAGAAAGAAAAGTATTCTTGGTATGTATCTAGCTTATTTTAGCATAACTATTTTTACTTCATAAATGAATTTAGAAATGTGACAGACACAGGAAAAAACTGAACATGGAATGAAAGAGAAGAACTCACCCAAAGTGTATTGTTGCTGTCTTCTGGCTCTTACCTACTTCTCACTTGGAAAGGCCTGATGAAATCCCATGCGATTTTCAAGAGGATGAAATAAGTTGAGTAAATTCACCCTCCCTTCAGTATTAAGTATTACAAAAGAATTTGTGCATTTCCGTACATGACTGAGTATCAAATTCAAAGCAGCATTTAAGTGCAGGCTGGTCAGTTCGCATTTCCTAAATCCCGCTTCAGTTGGACCGAAGAAACTTTTAAATGCATCCCATGTAAAGAATTCTGAATTCAGTTCCTGAATCAGAATTTAAAATAGGAAGTAAAAAGCATGTAATTTATCTTAATTTAGGAGCTTTTGCATTCCATTTTCCTGAAATGTTAATGGTGACAGCAAAATATATAATAGAGGTTCTTTGCTCATTGAGCTATGAATTTGGCAGGTTGCACAAGCCTAAGCCTATGATTAGGTTTTTAAACAGGGGAACATAACAGAGTCCTCCTGTCTGTTGACAATTGCTTTTTGAATGGGTCTTTTCCGAAGCCCTCTTTGTTCAAGATTAAAGTACATCACAGCTAGTTGTCCTGTGTTTTACCAAATGTAACCTGAGCAAGACCTTTTGTGTTCATTTAGAGAAAAAGTGGGTGCTGTGAAGTGCTGGGCTTGTAAAAATGAGTTTTGTGATAGATAGCACTGTGCTGAGGCTGGAAATAGAAATGTAGGCAACAGAAATATCCACACGATTGAAACTGAAAATAAATTATAGATGTGAGCTTGCTGGCAGAATCTTGATATTGTTTCAAGACTTCAGACTTTGCACAGTTGCAGGTGCAAAGGTTTTCACTAGTAACACGTGGACTTAACCATGTCACCAGACTCCCTGTATCCTGCTCTGAGGAAGGTGGCCTTGGACCACCCTGGCCAAGAGAAGAGATCCCCATGCAGCTCTCAGCAGGAGTGATGAGGAGTTAGTCAAACTCTAAATGCACACCATATAATATGGGAGAAAGTGTTAACAGGGTAATATTAATATAAAAGAAATATCACTTTGGAAATGTGAATGAAAGAACTTCAGTGATTTGGAAGGGTGCACACACATTGCTTCTAATATGAAAATAAGTAAAACATTTTAATTCTGAAGCTCCTCGTGGCTGTGCCTGCTAGCACAAAAGGGGTTTTCCTCTGCTTCCCAGAAAGTTCAAGGTTTGGTCATTTACTAGAGAGCACCAAAATTACACATGCTACCAATTTCCCAATTTTACATCCTTAGTAATAGCATAAAGTCAATTTACTTGATAAGTGATTGAGATAAGGCCATCCTTTAAATTCTGCTCTTCGTATCAGTGCCATAAGCAGACCCCACGTCTTTCGTTTGTTTGTTTGTTTGAAAACAGAATAAGTAACAAAAAAAGGAAAAGTGCTGTTGAATTATGGTAATACAATGATATGTGTTGTGTTAAAATTGGACTTTTTTCTTTTCATTCTCTCTCTGACTCACTAATGATATTATAATTTCAATTTCAGGTAGATATCTGCGGTTTGTATATATAATAAACCATTCAACTTTGAAAAGGAATTTTACATCCCCATTTAACTTTCATACTATTTCATTGTTTTATTGAGGAGATCTATTTATAGAAGTATGAAAGACGTACTGCAAGGATCAGTAAACGCTCATCTCAGATTAAGTGATCTTATGTCTAACAGCTTTTTGCTTCTGTCCTGAGTGTTCCTCTCTCACACAGGCTGAGTAACCCCATGCATGCAAGCTGTCCTAATGATGTCCTTAAAGAGCCTCCAGGTATCAGTTAAACCTTCCCCTATCTCACCGGGGATAATCCTAGTGGGAAATGATACTCAGCTTGAGGAACGTGCTTGGAGCGGCACCACTGATATTAAAAGAAATTGTAGTCTCCTTACAGGCTAAGAGCAGGTTGTGCATGGAGGTAAAGGGGGATTGAAGTAATTCACATAGTCTCCCTCGGGTCATGGTTTTAGAGCATGTTTAGGGTTTTGGTTTGCATTTCTGCCCATAGGTGTGTCTCTGGGATCAGTGACTTTCTCAGCAAGGCATTTGTTTGTTCCCATGGCGTGCTTGCTGATGAGACACACTTGCTCCTAAGCACCCTCTGTTCCGTGCTGGGCAGTAGTTGCTCCTGAGGGACTGTGCTTTGGGATAGGAGCACACACCCATTAATTTCTTTGCAGGCTTCAGGCCCTGGTTAGCAAACAAACCTTTGGACACGTTTCATAGAAAAAAAAAGGCAAAAACACTGCTAATGGAGAAGACAACAAATGGAAGGTCAAAATGTGTTACAAGGATTTTGCTCAAACCTTTCCCACCAAGCAGGCTGGTTCTGTTTGTGGCTCATCACTTGGAGACAAGGAAGCAGTGTTAAGACAACTATCGCTGGCAAAGCAAAGATTAGACAGGCAGCCTTCACCTCCTGGAAAAGCGTACAAATTCCTGAC